AAGGACTGTCGCACATAAGGTTGTACGTCAGTCATTATATTTTTTTTTTTTTTTTTTTTTTTTTTTTTTTTTTTTTTTTTCTCCATGCAAAGGATCTTGGATATAAACAATACTACATTGCGTGAGTAGGTGAGTACGTTGAGCACAAGGAGAGGCGAGAACATACTCTGTTTGTCTCCATGAAACTGCATGGGAGGTCTAAATCTACTTCCCCCTATTCTTATACATTTGCTCTAAATCACTCCACGTCAAGCCCACCTTTTCGGCTATCTGTGCGGCACCCTTCTCTTCGCTGATAAGCGTGTCTGTACCATTGATTGATACGATAGTAGCTGCACCGTGGAGGATTAGATATTTCATGAAGAAGGCCGCTTCGACGGAGGTCTTCTTCGAAGCCACATAGAGCGGTGTTTGACCGTTTGCGCGTCCGGAAGCAGAACAGAAGTTGATGGGCGCCTCAAGCCGCAGCAGATGCTCCGCCAAAGCCACTGAGCAGCTGGATCGGGCCACTCGAAGCAGCAATGTGCCTAAAATATCCCAGGACATATATCGCCGGAATTGCGTCAGGAGGCACTTGATTCTGGTCTCCTTCAGCGCACTGCCCTGGACCTCCGTAAACAAAGATTGTCTAAGAAGCATGGTAAACAGATTGTCCCTATGGTGGGGTCTGATGCGTAGCTTCTCCACTTCCCTTTGTAGGTACCTTTCCCATCGAGTAAAGATATCCTCTCGCCTCACTTTCACGACCACCTTCATCATATTGGGCCAGTCTCCTAATGAAAGGTTACCATACGCCCATTCGGACAAGTCAGCATCTTCGCTCGCCACCGCAGCGGCCAAGACCTTGAATGGTACTTTTGTCTCCGTGGTCACCGGTGCGAGGAGCTCGGTGAGCGCGAGTGACCCCTGTTCAGCCGCCATCAGTCGAGCATGCGCGATGACCTCCGGCTTCAGCTTCTTCCCCGCCTGAGAGCAGAGCAGACGCCGTACAAGGTCAATGTTCTCTTCAGCAAGCAGGACAAAGAGCAAGGGCTGGGCTTCTTCGGGATCAAGGGCGTCAAAGTTGCCTTCACCCCCTGCCGCGGCCCCCGCGGCCGCCTGAGCGTCGCGTGCGGCGGAGATATGGTGTTTTTGCCAGTGCCGTTGTCGGCTGGCTTCCGAATCGAAGCCAATGCTCGAGAACTCGCAGCTCGGAACGACGCATTTCAACGGCCGGCCGTGGTTCTCAATATGTTGCTCGCGTTCGTCGGCGGAGGGAAAGCCACGTCGGCTTCGTGTACAGAACACGTACGTGCATCGGAAGAGCTGAGGACCGTATTGCCGCTCCAAGCCTGGACGGCAGTCTGGCATCGACAATAGTATCTCGTGCTGTTCGCGCAGCCGAATCAACATTTGTGACGTGATTAATGGATCTTTGTTGATCCACGACTCGTCTGTTGGTCATTTCCAGGGTCAATAGCGGGAGCAGATACGGCGGATAGACCCGCAAGCAGTGGACGTTGATCTTGCTTACTATTTTTCATGTTCCAGCCCCATCGTCTCTCATTCGAGTGAAACTTTTTGGCTCCACAGATAATAGCATTCGAATCTAAGTCTTCATCATTCACGCGAGACCCCTTCTGATCCACCGTCAGCCCCTGCAGAGGTTCGGTTGTGATGAAATCGGAATTCTGGAGTTTCCGTGA